GTTTGTGTTCACGTCGTCAAGTCCAGCTTCTTCTAATGCCCCTTCCCCTCCCATCTTTTTGAAAGGAAAAGAAAAATTAAATATATATTTTATAACCCCCAAAAAAATTGATCACCTGATTTTTAAATGGGACTCAGTTATAGACTCAGAGCGGGGATGTGTTGGGGGGGGGGAGATCCAGAGAGAGAGAGAGAGAGAGAGAGAGAGAGAAGGAAATAGAGAAAATGCGCGCGGGGGAGGACTTCTTTTAAAATATATATAGATATAGATATATGTGTAATAAACAGAAGAAGGGAAACTGTCTTGGGAAAACTTTGGGAGTGTCAAGAAGTTTAAGGTGGGTAAGTTGAATCGCCCCCTCTCCCTGCCCGCCCCCCTGCAAGGAATCTAATATATAATCGGTTCTTCTCCCTCCCCCGCCCTTTTCTTCCTTATTTCTTTAGTCCATATCCACTTCCTCACAGTCTAAATTGCTGGTCTCTGCTGGACAGTTTGGCTCTGTGCGACAATCCGGATTGTCTCTGGATTGACAAGCGTCTTTCGCGGGGGACTTTGGTTGCACGACGGCGCAGCTACTGTCCATCTGGGAAGAGGAATCGCAATAGGCAGAGGGGGGAGAGGAGGAGGAGGAGGAAGCGGAGGAAGAGGAGCAGGCTGTGGCCGGAGGGGAAGCCACGGCCTTCCTCAGTCCGCAGAGGGCCCCGGGCGCGACGGAGGAGCTATTCTCCGGCGGCAAGCGGCCTCCGGACGTGGAGATGGCGGCGGTGCTGCTGCTCTTGGGGGGCGCGGGGTCCGGGCTGGGGTTGGCGGCGGGCAGAGGGGAGCCCCCCTGCGGCGGCTCTTGGCCCGGGTTGCTCTTGAGGGCGGCTTGGGGCACGATGAAGCCCAGCGGCTGCGTGATGGGGTAGAGCAAAAAGTGCCCCTTGCCGATGAGCGTGCGCGCCGTCGGGGCGCACGGCGCCAAGGCCTGCGGGAAATCCAGCGCCGCTTTCCGCCGCGGCGGCGAGTCCGACAGGAGGCTCTCCACGCTGAACGGGTTGAGCTTGGGCAAGGCGCCGCCCGAGCCGCCCACCCCGCCTCGCGCCGTCGAGGGAGGCGGCCCGCACTCGGAGCCCGACGGCGCGGACCCGTCCTTGTCGGCACACCGGTTGCTGCCGCCGCCGCCACCGCCACCACAGACCCCGTGGCCGCCTCGGCTCGGGTAGAAAGCCGAGGCCGCAGGGTCGCAGCTGCCCGGCCGGGACGGGTTGTGCGGGCCGATCTTGCAGGTGTCCGGAGGGTCCGGAGAGAGGCCTCCTCCGCCGCCGTCGCTGTCGGAGCTCTGCGTGCTGCTGTTGACGGAGAGGCCGCTGGGCGAGTGCAGGTTCCGGCTCTGGCTCTTGAGCAGCTTCTTCTCGTGCTTGCGCTTTTTCTTCTCCATCTTCTCCAGCTCCTTGCGCGCGATCTCCTCCGGGTCCATCGGCTCCCCGCTGCACGTCGTCGGGTGGGAGTTGTGCGCCGGCCGGCCGGGCCCCTTCTTCGTATTCTCTTTCTTTCGCCATTTGGCCCGGCGGTTTTGGAACCAAACCTACACACCGAACAAGGAGGAGAAGCCGTTAACAGCAGGGACCCCCTGGTGGCCCCCGAGGGCCAGTGGGGGAGGAGGGGGTCGCCAGCTTCCTCCCGCCCCCCTCCAACCCTCCATTCCCCCTCCCGCCTCCCCTTCTTGCTCGGGGCGCAGAAGCAGCCATGTCCCGACCCGCGTTAACCATTCCTGGGTACCTTGCATTTTACCCTATTTTTAATAAAGAGCGAAATCTTACACACTTCTAATCAGAAGTCAACCCCAGCGAGTTAAATGGGCTTTACTCCCAGGTAAAGGAGCCTAGGATTGCAGCCTCAAGAAATCAGAATTCGGACAGAAAGGGAAGTTTGGTGCTTTTAGTGGGGGTTTAAGCAGAGACCACTCCAGCAAATATATAACTCAAAGAGAGAGAAATAATCCTGCGGGTCTCTCTTTTTTTGGGGGGGGGGAGGGCATCTGGAAATTCAAAGGCTTAGAGCCAACGGCGTGCAAGGAAAGGAAGGTACAAGGGGAAAAAAAATCAAAGCGCCACCGGATATATTGTTGTCGTTTGCCCTTTTTCTCCCTTCGCTGTCTACCTTCCCTGCTACGTGCGTAAAAATCCAGGGCTGGGTATCCAAACCGGCTTCCTCTTTCGGAAGTTTGAGGGCAAACTCCCATGTCGTAGTTCCCCCCCCCGCCCCCGCCCCGCCCCCCAAAAAAACACCATACAAGAGATTGTGTTTGTTGGTTCAAACGTAGCACTTCCTAAACCGGCTTTCCGCTCATGGGTTTGTGCGCTCGGTTCGGTTGGCAAGGGCCTCGGGCGGCAGGGAAAACATCTTAATTATATCGTATTAACCGGGTGACAGTATATTGTTATTGTTATTATTATTTAAAATATCACTGGGGTGTGGGTGGGAAATGCCTCCGAATAAAAGTCTTTGCTCCCTTTTCACTCCCCCCCCCAACCAATCACACAAGTCACCACATCCCGTGTATCCCCTTTCGAAGTGAATTGCGAAGGAGGAAAGGAAAATTGGAAAAGGGGGGGAGAGAGTGAGTTCTTGGAATCTGCCACACGTGTTTTCTCGACTACAACCTCCCTCCCGCTCCCCTAAAATCACGACTGCATCCTTTCCTGGGTTTTCATTCAGAGGGGGAGAGAGCCTAACTTGAAGACTGTGAAATTGACAAACGAAAGGGATCAAGATTTGACCCTACGGAAAGTCAGATGTCACCCCCAGCTTTTAAAGAACTCTCCCACCATCACACACGCACACGAGTTTCTTTTAAAAAGAACATAAATAAATAAGGCAGGCATCCCACCGTTTTTTCAACAGCAACATCCTCCCCCCCCCCACACACACAACTAAAACATACTGATCGAAGACGAGGAGGAGGAATAATACTTTAAGATCAACGAGGTTTGAGAAAGTGTCCGTCCCAAGATCCACAAAATGAAAAACGCTTGGCAAAGGTGTAAAAACAAAACCCCGAAAGGGAGAAGAGGCTTGGCGAGGGGAGGGGAGCGCTATTTCCCACGAGCTCTCAAATCAATAAATTAACCTTCACTAACTGGTTCCCAACTTAAACATCACTGTTTTAGTATCGAAGTGAGGTGGTTCCCCCCGAATCCTTTGACTCTCATGCACTTATCACTCTTTGCCCCCCCCCACCTCAATCATCATGGCAGAGAGCCCACAATAAAACCACACCATTAATATTAATAATTTTTAAATCAACTTTCAAAAGTAAACCGGAGATCAGGGTGGGGTGGGGAGTGTTTCGGGGGTGCATAAGGAATTCTATGTTTAGAGGGTGTGTGTTTTTAAAGGACGTAGGGAGGTGAAGGGAAGGATAAGTAACTTAATCAACCTTGCTGGTCCCTATCAGAAAACCTTGGTTTTTTAAAATAATAATAATAATAATAATAATAATAATAATAATAATAATAATAATAAGCTTGCTCTGCCGGTATGTATTTTGCAATTCCCTATCCTTTCCTGACTTGTCAGTTCCAGCAGCCCTTGTCACCGAGAATTACTCATTATCGTATTAGAGGGAAATCGAGGGTCTTGACTTCATTCAACAGCCTCAGAACAAATTGGATAAAAGGATTTCAAAACAGAAGAGGTCAGGAGAGGCGAAGAGGGGGAGGGTGGAAGCATTTTGTAAATACACCTTTTAGACAATGCCAGCCCGGATTAATAAGAGTCAGTGATGTTATTAGCCCCTGCGCTTTTGCAAGTAACAACTCTTATTATTTTTTAAAACGCACGCACGCACACAAGGGGTTTCTGTGGGAGAAAGACTCCTTGTTTTCGATTGCCCCGCTGCTCCGATATGGGGGGGGGGGGCTTGAAAAGTGTGCCACCCCAAGTTCCTCCATGCTCGACCCCAAACCCCCAGAACCAGGAAAGCTGTTGCAAAGTTTGGGTAGGGTTTTCTATTATTTCCAAATTCAGAACTAAAGGTGGGGGGGGGTAACGGTATTAGTACCTTGTTATTAAAAATAATTGCCTATGAGATTATTTTTAAAGTCTGCTCTGAAGCAGGGGGGGGGAGGTGGAATTGCTCTCCCCCCCAAAAAAAATTAAAAAGTATACAAGAGCTGTTGAAACCAACATGCAATCCGCATCCTGCTTAAATTTCATATTGGCGAAAATTGTGCTACAGGGCAAATATACATATATGAAATCTAACCCCCTTGCCATTTTCCCTTTCAGATCTCCCCGACCGCTTCTCTCTCTCTCTCTCTCTCTCTCTCTCTCTCTCTCTCTCTCTCCCTCCCTCCCTCCCTCCCTCCCTCCCTCCCTCCCTCCCCCCCCATCCCAGGGGCTAAGCGGCAAATCTGAACTCGCGTGTCCCTCATCAGGCCTAACTCTGGAAAATATTTAATGTAAACTACCTCAAGAACCTTCTGCACTTGAACCGCATCCCGGGGGTCTACTTCTTTTTAGGGGTTGTCGGGCGGGGGAGAAAATAGAGACGAAAAAACAAATAACTCCCGAAAGCTAGAGTACAAATAAATATAAATGGAGAGGGGTTTTCCCCTACCCGCGGGCGGAAATTAAAGGAAAGGTAGTAGAGGAACAAGACCACTTCCACGCAATGAACACCGCCCCCAGCATGTTTAGGAGCAAAGAAGGGAGGCATTTATTTTTGCTAACTCCCACCCCCACCCCTCTAAAATGCTTTCCCCAACTTTCAACAAAACCACACACAAACACAAAGTTGGTAAATTTGGTTTGCTGGCCCGACAGAGAGAGGGAAGAGGGGCGCAAGATTTTGGTGAGGTCAGAATTTGGGCCGGATCCAGCTCAAGGTGCGTAACTCTTTCCCATGCTAAGGAACTGGCAGCCTTTGCACAGAGTAGTCTTATATATACGTTTACCGAGAGCTGAATATCCCACTGTGCGCAATGGGCAGGTGTCAAGGCTTGAAGCCTGAAACGAGTTTGACTTCGGAGTGGACCCTCGTGCGCTTTATGTTGTGGAGGGAAGGAAGGGGAGCCCCGCTCGGGTTTTTTTACCTGCACTCTGGATTCCACCAGATCCAGCCTCAACGCCAGCGCCTCTCTCATAAATACGTCGGGGTAGTGACTTTCGTTAAATGCCTTCTCTAACTCTTCCAGCTGCCAACCGGTGAAATTCGTGCGGGTCCGTCGCCTTTTGCAACCTGGACTCTCCTTGTCAGGATCCACGGAGTCTGGGGGGGTGCGGAAAAGAGCGATGAGAGAAGCAAACTCTTCATACCAATTACTAATTGATAGACGATCACCTTCCGTTCCATAACAATGGGGGGGGGGACACCTTCATATTTAAAAACTGATTGAGTCACCCTGATTTACCCCTCCATCAATTTTCTATATATATAGCTGGACCGTATATTCATATTTCGAAGCTAAAACCCAATTGATGGAGACACAACTTCCTTGATTTTTATTTATTTGTCGCCAAGAGTTAATTCGAGGATTGTTTACAGGAGAAATATATCATTTAAGATTCTGGAACGAGCCTTACTTTTTATTTGTTCAGGCGAAGTTGGACAGTAATACATATATTTGTCCTATTTCGAGAGCTAGGATCTGCTTGCTTTATAATTTCAATTATTTTAAAAAAATATTGGCACGTGGTCCAGTCCCGTCCCCCTATTCTTATTTTCAAGCGAGATTGAAGGTAGCTTTGTTGGAATAAAGTTATCAAATAAACGACACGCTTCAGGTCTGTGAGGCCAAAAATAAAAGGGCTTCCATTATGTCCTGAGTGGATTTGTAGGTTTTAGGCGTTTGGGTTTAAAAATAGAAGGGAATCTAGGAGGTGCCACCTGGAAACTTTCGATGGGCCGCGGAGCCTTTGCGCAAAACTGTGAAATCCTGACCTTCCCAAGGCCCTCGGTACCACCGTTCTCGTCCTCTCCTCCCCCGCTCACCCAGATCACCTCTCTTTTGTTCGGATTTTCTGTTTGGGCGAGCGAGGACACCAAACGACTAGCCCAAGCCAAAGCCAGATCGGTTCTGATGTGCGCAGGGAGCGCTTGCCTCGCTTCCTTCAGAATAAGTGCGGGGGATTTTAAAGAGCAGAGGTATCTTATCGTTTTTGCATAAATACTACATTTAATATACAAAAATAGTATATTTTGGGTCCTTTTAAGAGCTAAAGGGGAGAGGGTGAGAAGCGTAAAGAGAGAAGCCGTTTCCGTTTCCACCTTCAGCAAATAAAATGAGTTGCTGGGGGCAGAAAAACCAGCAAAGGAGCTCGCGGAGGAGGCGAGGGCCTTTTCTCACTCCCCAATTTCACAGAACCTTGAGGATTCCCCACCCCAAAAAAAACCTCTATTCGGGTTCCTTCCCCCCCCCCCAAACATCCCCACTTCTACTGGAAACAAAACAACTAGGGCGGAGAGAAAAGGAGAAGAAGGGAATGATCGATTGCGCATCGCGGCTCCTGGAGCTCTGGCGAGGCGCGGGTGCCTCTCCCCATCGGAGAAGTTGCTTGCGATGAAAACTGGTGGCGGAGTTCTTTTTTTAAAATCTAGATGTCTGATCCTGACCCCTGATTCACCCCTGCTCCTGCTCAGTCTGGCGCTCCCCACCCTCACCCCACGGAAAGACACCTGGAAAGCCCTGAGTTTTATCCTGCCGGTGATTCCAGGAAGGAGGAGAAGGCGAGGAGGGAAGCGAGCGAGCTGTTACGGAGGGGAGGATGGAGGCACCGGATCGGGCCGGATCCCGGGCGCCGCCAGCCCAGCCCAGCGCTGCCCATGCCCGCCGACTTACCGGAGAGCTTGAAGGGCTGCCCGTCTCCGCAGCCGGAGGGGATGAGCGGGGTGGGGTTGACCACGGAGGCGGCGCAGGAGCCGTTGAGTAATCCGTCGATGGAGAAGGGTACCGAAGCCGCGGCGGCGGCGGCGGCGGCCGACTGCAGCTGGTGTCCGGCCAGCTCGTAGACATGGTGATGGCCGAGGGGGTAAGGGAAGCCCACCAAGCCTCCGAACTGGGCATGGGGGTGCTCCAGGATGCGGCTGTCCATCATGGAGGGGGCGGACGGGGGGTGGGGGGTTGCGCGCCTCCCTTAACGCAGCTGCGGCGGCTGCTGCTGCTGCTGCCGCCGCCGCTGCCGCCGCCACCGCCGCCGGAGGAGCGCCGCCGCGGTGTGGTGGTGGCAGCAGCGTCGTCGACGGTGGCGAGGTAGACGCGCGAGGAAGGGCGCATGCTGGAGGGCGCCCGGGCGCTTTAACTTTATCAACATCAGGCCTCCCCATAATTAGGCTCAGGCCCGGGGAATTTGGGACCAATAAGAAACGTTAATCGGCCCTGACGTCAGAGACGTGCCAGGGCGGTGGGGGAGCCAAACGTTTTCCATATCGATTGCTAATTATACCTGACATCCACCCTCAATAAACAATATCAAAGCTGTCACAACAAGACAAGCAGGAGAAAGGAGGGAAGAGGAGGAGGAGGAGGAAAGGGAAAGGGGGGGTCTCTTTGATAAGAACTCCTCCAGCCCCTGGAGTAAGGGGGTGGGGGAGGGAAGGAGGGAGCTGCCTAGGCCAACGAGAAGAAAAGGGATTTGGGGGGTGCGGGGGAGAAAACAGGAGAACTTAGAGATCTGATTGATACCCAGTTAAATACTCAAAAGCAAGCGGAGTTACGCGCTCGTCGTCACCCACCTCTCCCCCCCCAACCTTCTCCTCCAAATCACTAATAGATTTCCCTTTAAAACATTCGCTGGTGTGTTGTGGAAAGAGGGTCTCTGTCTCTCTCTCTCTCTCTGACCCCCCCCTTCTTTTTCTTCCCTCCTCCCTCTTCTCTCTCTCTCTCCCTCCCCCCCCCACCTCGTCTTCTTCTCCGTCTACACCAGAAACGTTCGACTCCTCTGAACCTTTAAAGTGATGTTGCTCCAATTACAGGGAGACATTGAGCGGCAAATAGACTGATCCAATAATAGCAGATTCATCATCCGCTCTTTCCAGAGCTGTCACAATGAATTTAAAACTACAAGCCTTTTCATCTCCTCTCAGGCTTCTCTAGCGCAGGGAGGGGGATTGGAAAGACTTAAAAAAAAAAAAGTATTGGGGGGGGGAGGCGCAAAGAGGCAGAAGGAAAGGGGCGCGGGCGGGGGTGTAGTATATATATTTATATGGAATATTTCTCCCCCGCCCTTGCCCTGTATTTAAACCAGCGCCATCCGATCGTATCAATCAAAATAATAATTAACGCCATCCCCCTATTGATCCATGGAAAAGCCCATATTAAATTATGAATGGGGCCAGAGGGTTTCTAATTAAAAAGCAGTCTATTTAGCAAAAGGGAGGCCCAATGTGGGTGTGAGGTTTATATATCCATATATGCATACACACCACATACACACAAGGGCGACACACAAACACGTAATGACATGTGCATGTGTGGATGCATTCACCAAAAGCAGGCGTAGAGGAAATGTATAAATGGGTCTCTTAAGGTCAAAAAGCAGGTACCCCTATTTCAACCTGCTGTCCTTAGAGAGACTTACTTGCGAGTAAACTCCACCGGGTGAAACCAACAAACGGGTGGGCCCGCAGAACTCCTGGAACCAAGCGGGCTCCCCCAAACTTCAATCCCGTGGAGGCGCCTTTACTCGCGAGTAAGCGCTCCACTGAACTCTCGCCTTGCCTGAGTTGGGTTAAGTCTCCAGCACTGAGCCCTCCGGCCCTCTGCGCCCCCCAGGACGCGTTTTCCTCTTGGCCTGGATGCGGTTGGCACCATTGGGAACAGGATCGGCCTCTCCTGAGGCTGCAGCCTTTAGAATTCTTGCTCCGGAGCAATGTGGAGCCAATCAGACTTTTCCAGAGTGACTCCGGAGCGCGCAGCTCGAAAGACCCCGGCCTAACCCTTGCGTGCAGCTTTTTCTTCCTATTTTTTGTCACCCCCTTACCCTAATTGAATTAGCTCCTCGCCTAGATTGCAGCTTCTCGGCGGCCCGGCTTGTTTTACCCCAGTTGGAAGCGAGTGTCAAGGATTTCGAAGTCACTTTGGCAGAGGCGGGAGGAAGAGATTCGGCTGAAATAATCCTCGCAACTTTCTTGTTCCGAAGTTGGACACTTTTGTTAACGTTGCAGCCGGAGCTCCGGCCCTTCTGCTCGGAAGGGTTCGTACAGGAAGCTTTTAAAAGTGTGGAGTTGGATGGAGAATTGTCACAAGCAGCTCACGGCGCTTACTCGGGAGTAGGCGCCTCTGAGACTGCGGCGGAGTCCCTCTACCCCACAGAAGCCTAAAGAGCAGAAAGTGCGTTTGTGTGACTTCTTTGCAGCTTACATGTCTGGGATACCGTCACCACCTCAGCCTAAGCAGAGTTAGGCGCGCCTAACTAAACCCAGGGAAGCCGGTGGGGTTTAACTTTGGATAGGGCCGGGCTGTCAATCTCCAGACTTCTGAGGCCTCTTTTTCTTCTCTGTCGCTTGGCTCCTCAAACTTACGGTCCTGGGAATGTGGTGTCCGGAGGTTGCGGGTCGAAAGCGGATCTGTTCACCTTAGGCTGCGATGCGCACAATTTCCCTAGCAGAAAGTTCCACGGTTCTCAGCGGGGCCGACTTCCGAGTAGTCAGATGGCCCTCTTCACAGCATAAAGGGATCCTGAGCTGACTATTTCTCCAGCTTCCGAGGGGATCCAGTATATCTGGGGTTAGTACATAATAAATGGAATGTGGCTTCACTTTTTAAATGACTTGTTTATTTATTTTATATTTTTATAAAAGCATTCCTGAAGACAAACTCTTGGAAAGGTGGACAAGGAAAGGAGAGAGAGAAAGGAAGATCGTCCGGAGAGGAAAGAAAAACCCCTTTATTTAAAACTAAACAGAACCTGACTGGCATGTTCCTACACCTCTTAAATCTTTCCAGGGTCCAAGAAGAGAAAGCAAAATCTATTATCGCTAGGGAACAGCTTTTTAAAAGACTTTCCTCCCCCCCCCCAAATCCCTAGTTTTGATGAGCCACAAAAGATGCGTTTCCCAAAGTGTGTTTCCCGGTGGCACGCTTGAATCCGAAGTAAACATCGGGATCAAAACTCCTAATCCGAATTGTCCACTTTTCCCCCTTTTGCTTTTTTTTTAAAGCAAAAAAAGAAGGAAAAATCTAATTGAATATCTTCCAACAGACCACTGGCTGCCTTCTTCCCCCCCACCCCCAAACCCTCCCAACCCTACTCGACTCTAGATGGCAGTTTAATTATTACCTTAAAAAATAAATAAAATAAAATAAAATGCCATTTAGACACACACTCACACGCGCCCCAACTCGAACCCGCAAAGAGAAAATGATGGGGTTAGGATTAATTCCGAGGTGAAGGGGCAAGGGCCTTCCCTTTTCAGCATAATTTAATTTCTTTCTCTATAAATACTAAATGTAAACTGTAGCCACTGAAGCAAGTTTTCGCCTGTAGCAATAAAAGCCCTCATTTTCTGTCGGATTTCTGGATAGGAATGCCAAACGAACGTGTTTTTGAATACAGAACGGTAATCAATCCTGCACAAGAATAAAAAACGGGGGGAAAGATCCCCCTCCCGCTCTCTTCCTCTCTCTCTCTTTCTCTCTCTCTCCCTCTGTCCTTCTCTTTATTATAATGAATTAATTCGACTTTATTTATCCCATTTTCTGGAGCTGACAGAATGTTAATTTGAGTTGAAATTTCGCTCGCCTCTCACTCTCTAACCCTTGCCCCCCAGACTGGCGTGTTGTAATAACCTGAATCTTTCAACAGAAGCCCTGATAATTGTTACCTTATTAGCATGCAAATTGTTTAATTAATATTATTATGGAGAAGCATACAATCCGTCCGTCACTTGACCTCGAGAGCAAGTCCGCGTAGCAACCGGCTCTGTGCATTTCAATAGGGGGCACATTTCAAAAAAATAATCGACTTTGCAAAAAGAAATATATAAATTTTTTACCCTCCTCCTCCTCCTCCCCCCTTTTATTTCATGTTTCCCGGATCTTTGTGGAGTTCAAAAAATAAAATAAAATAAATCTCTCTCAAAGTGCTCGAGAGGAGCCTTTCACGTGGGGTGGGGGGCCAAGCAGGCGGGGGCTCTTTGATCCAGCCCTTCCGTGATATCCCTTTATATTGCACTCCATCTTTAAAAAAAAAGAAAAGAAAGACACACACACACACACGAGAGATAAATCGTTTTATTCTCTGCCCTCTCTTTTATTTATTTATTTCAAACCCCCCCCCCACTCACGCGCCCCGACATCAAAAAATATTTTAAAATAATTGCTTCCTTGCCAATTGCAGCTGCTTTAAAGGCAACCGATTTGGAGAGCTGTTCCTCCAAGCCAGATTGGGGGGAAAGGAGAGAGAGAGAGAGAGAGAGAGAGAGAGAGAGAGAGAGAGAGAGAGAGCTGGGGGGGGGGGGCAGGAAGAAAAAAGAAAGCAGCCCTTGACATGCAGTCCTGGGAGACGTTGCATTTAAATCCCTTTTTCTACAGCCGAGTGACATTGTCAGATGCTAGCTTTAATTAACTTGATAATAAGACGTACAAGACTCGCATTCGGGACGCCGCCTCGCCTCGCCTTGTTTCCATCCCCCTCCACGTCTTTCTCCCTCCCTCTCTCTCTCTTATTATTATTATTGCAATCTATGTGTTTTATCTTATACAGAGCTCCTCGTTCTTGCCGGCCTCTTTTTCTTCTACTTTCCCCGCAAAGAATCGGAAAAAAGCCCCCAAAATTAAACTTTTTCTTCTTCTTCTTAAATAGAAAAGGGGACTAGTTCTGCCTGGGTTGGTTTAGAAGAGGCAGAGCGTCGAGGTTACCCCCGGGAGGGCGCTGGGAGAGCGAGTCAGAAAAAAGTGAGTGGGGTTGGCTGGGGAGAGCGAGGCAGAAGTGGCTAAAGGGAACTGAAACGGGTGGGTGGTTGTTGCCATAGGGAGCTGTCCATATACACCAAGGCAGGTCATTGCTCCGTCTAGCCTGGCCAACAACTCTCAAGGATTGGTCCATGCAGCTTAGTAGTGTCTACACAGGCTGGCAGCAACCCCTCAAGATTTAGGAGCCTTTCCTGACCCTCCCTGAAGATGCAGGGGACTGAACTTGTGAGCCAAGACCTTCCCCATGAAACCTCCATGAGATTTAAGGACTTTTCAGAGGATGTTCGGTTGCTCTGCCACCACCATGTTCAAGTTTTGGTTTATCTGATAATTTTTGAAGAACAAAATCATTTGGTTTGACTCCTGGCAACCTTTTGGTTAACAACTACAGTGATACCTCAGGTTACATACGCTTCAGGTTACAGACTCAGCTAACCCAGAAATAGTGCTTCAGGTTAAGAACTTTGCTTCAGGATGAGAACAGAAATTGTGCTTCTGCGGCACAGTGGCAGGCCCCATTAGCTAAAGTGGTGCTTCAGGTTAAGAACAGTTTCAGGTTGAGAACGGACCTCAGGAACAAATGAAGTACTTAACCCGAGGTAC